CTTTCTTTTTTCTTGTTAAAACGATGACCTAAAACTTTACTGTTTCTCTGGCAGTAGAGCAAATTGGTCTTTTATAGATTAACATGCACCATTGAAAAATAGCTAGAACAGTTCAGAGCTAGAACTCTCATTATGGAGCATGGATGTATATTTCTTCTCTAGAACTAATTTTTTCGAATGAAATATTATTCATTTCTGACTACTACTTAATATTAATTAATAAGACTTTTTTTTCTTAGGTAAAAATAGTGAATATCTGAAGTTAACTCAAAAAATATCATGCACATTTGACTAGCAAATATCTAATTTAATTATGAGCATTTATAATAATATTATTGTATTTGAAAAATGGACTATTCTCTAAACCAATAAACTTGGAGAAGCTTACACAAGCAAGTTAATGAATTTATGCGTTCAAGAAGCAATGCCTCGCTACATCTGAATATTAATCGTCTTCCATGATGAGAGATCAATCACCTCAGACAGTGTATGTAGGTGTATGATATTATTTGCTCCAAGTACTGATAATCATGGTACAGTTGCTGGAGTAGAAATATAATGATGATCTACTACTATGAGTCACTTGACTCTAGAGTAATTGGGTCAAGCTACAATATAACTAGATTTTCCTAACCCAAAACACTTATAGCAATTCTGGAGAGATAAATATCTAAAACTGATTAAAAAATATGTTGTAAACATGTTTACTTAATAAATATGCACATATTAGTTAAGCTATAAATCTAGTAGTTGTTTAGAAATATTATTTTGATTATGATGATTGTTTCTGCAATAAAAACATATGTAGAGGTTTATAAGATCATCTGGATTTCAAACTGCACGAGTCAGTGATATTCTTGGAAGGCATTTCAACTAAGCGGGAGACTTCTTTATATGTGTTCTGCTCTACCCTGGGTCATTTCTGAGAGTCAAGAAACTCTCAAGTTATAAGTTGACTCACTTTCAGTCCAAAAAATATTTTAAATCACTTCCTCGTTTATGTTAGGTACTTGAGTGTTTATTGAATGGATATACTTCGATACTTCTGTGCACTGCTAATGGCTTATTTATATAAAATTTTAAGTACCATTAAAGACATCTTTCCTAGTTAATCAAGATTAAACGCATCATTTTGAAGTCAATTAACCTCCATTTGATTTGTTGAAAAATAAATTGACTTTTCTAAATGGTGATGGAACTTTTATCTAACTTTTACCTCCACTCAAAGAATTAAAAACATAACATTTTATCTTATTTAATATTTGAAAGAGTTTACGTGGGTATACATTTTTCTTATTATTTTTACGACATAAAAGATAAAAGTACAAAAGATTATTTTACAAAAAAAATTATTTCTTTAATTTATTTATGAAAAGATGATGACGGTAGATATTTTTTATGGACGTTAAAACGTTTATATGAAATTTTCAATTCAATAGGGTACCAAGAATAAGTTTTTCAATTCAATTTAGTCAATTGTGCAAACAACAATAGAATATTTTTGTGTAAATAATGGATTTTTGTAGAAATATTCCGCTGCGTAATTTTACTCTTTAACTGTTTTACAAGATTACTGATAAATCTATCAGTAAAATTTTTAAACGATAACAAAAATATTTAAATTCATAATGTATCCAGCTATATTTTAGAGTAATAAAAAATAATTTCAAAACGTGTGTACATAAGTACTTGTAAATTGAATTCAAGGAAAAAGAAAAACAAGTATTGTCAATACAAATTTTACATAAAAAATATGCTATTGTCATAACAAATCAAAATTCAGTCTTAATTACATTTAGTTCTACAGGAAAAATCTGTAAATAGAACAAACTGAATTTGTAACTGTAACAAAAGAAAAAATATGTTCCAGCTGCACAGAAACGATATAACTGTAACAAAAGGAGATTGTTCGCTAACAGAAAAATTTTTAAAGAAGAAAAATTTCTAAAAAATTATCTACGAAGATTCTTACTACCTGCCTTCTACAATTTACTCTAAATTTTTTTTCTCCTATCCAGATGGCAATTTTTCATAATAACAAACTATTTGTTCATACTCGTGTATCAAAAATAGCGATGTTTTAAACAGAAACTAATAAATTAAAATTCATGAATAAAGTTGATATTGATGGCTTGTTTTGATGTGCCTAATGGAAAGCGTTGAAAATCATAGCTGTTAACATTTCCTCTACTACAGAGAGCATTGCTCTTGAAAATCAGTAGAATGATGTGATGTAAAACTTGAATAAACCGGACGCAATGTTTCCGTATATATATTGAAGATTCGCATTATGTATTATTCGCGATTCTATTATATACAGCACCTTATAACGGATATGGAAATGTTCCGGTGCGATTAGGTCACGAACGACTTGGCATGAGGAGAGCGAGAAATATAACTCAAGTGAAAGATGATGTACATACGTTGTTGTTATTGTTGAAATTTCTATTGCTTCCACCTACGTATAGTTACTTAAATTGTCAATTATTCAAAAAAAAATAATTCATTCTATTTATGACTTATTGTTTGTAGTCTGCACGTATACGTAATTTTATCTATTCATATATTGACATGAATTGAACAATTGCTCGTTCCCAAGTGTGTAAAAGCGCGACTAATATTTACAATTGACAACTTTAGGGCTTTCTAGAATATTACATAAATAAAATCATATGTGTTTTCACTATTGCATTGTCACTAGACTGCAGAGTTGCGATGCACTGTGAGTATTTTTTTCCTGCAATGCAGTGAATAAAATACAAATGGGTTGGACAAAAAATGAATGGGTGAATGAAGAAACTAGCATGAAATACCATTGAATAAGTCGTATGTAAAATACAATTATGACGGATATTTCGTGATAACAATTAATATTGAAAAAAAAACCTTGATTAAATCCTTGTTTTAGTAATTAAAATTTATTTCTAGTATTTATCTGAATAATTATTCAATAAATTATATCATTTTAACACGATAATTGTAAATCATTTTTTAGATTTCTTTTCTATACTAGAGAATTGTGTGCCAAGATAACAATTTTACATAACACTTGTTTTCTTTTTTTTTCTAAATTAAAGTATTCATAATCTCGATTAGAGTAAATATAACTTGAACTATAATAATTTGTACACGGAAAAATTATTGCATAAAAAATTGCTATGGACTTGTAGTACTAGCAGACTATCTCCAAAGTTTCAGTAAATTTCATAGATTACAATTTTAAAAACTCTTTGGTCATTATGAAATTCTGCTACGGACTATAGTAAATTCTGTTTCGGGTTCGTTGTACAAGAGAGAAAAAAATTTTCCATTGAGCTGAACCTGGAAATACTATCAACAACAGTACAAAGTCCTATTACCGAACATACTTTTCTTCATACAATTTTATTTTTTTTTTTTTTTAGACTTTTTGAACGTAGATTAAACATTCATTATCAATTAAAAAGAAAAAATAATAATTCATTTTAAAACTTAGACTGTAAAAGTGTAAAAAGAGAGAAGAGTATTTCATTTAATAGAATTTGTTTGTTTTATATTTTACAATGAAGTGCATGTTTTTTTTCAATCAATTGTTGCAACATTCAAACGAATAATCAAACTCTTTCGTTAATAAAATTTGAATGAAATTGACAATATAAATGATTATTAAGTTCGTTCATATATTGGATACTTTTAAACTTTAAACCAAAATAGTTTTTACACGTTTAATAGATAGATATTTGCCATATCAATAAAATTAATTTAATTTTAATAATACTTTATTGTATTCTGGAAGTTATTATTTGTATGATACGAGAAATAAAGTCGAAATTTTATATTGAAAATTATGAATTTATGAATAAGTCATACTATGAATTTCTATATAGACTAATTTATTTAATACAAAATTCTCTTATTTGAAAAATTTCTAAATTTTTGAAAAAATTTTGAAATAACTGTTTTGATGTTACCTCAGGTTCTTCCTTACACAATTTTGCTCAAGTAAATACTATAAATTGGATCGAAGTTATTAAATTAAAATTATTGAGTTTACTGGCTCACCACAGATTGCTTTCTAACCATATTGAAGCAGTAAAACCACAAAAATTAGTCTTTATATGCAAAATTCAGAAAATGTCTATGTGAACAGCTAAATAAAAGATAATTAAAAATATAAAATAATATAGTAGGAAAAAACAATATTTCAATTATCAATAATAATATTTTGAACTTATCATAAAAGAATTCAATCCATTTCCTTTAATTAATGTCAGAATTTATCTATTCAATGAATTAACGTTAAAAAAGAAAAAAAGTTTTGCAAATGTATTGAGCAAATATTTGACACAAAAAAATCCATATAATTCCATTTTTAGTGGCAATAAAATAAAAGATAACCGACATTTTCAGCTAGTAGACAGTATGACAAACGTCCACTGATTAAAGTTGTATTTCCTACTTCATTACGCTTCATTTTTGGCAATACTCCAAAATAATTACCAGCTAAATTACACAGAGACATTAAAGATCACTATTTTAAGTTTTTCATAACTTTTTTGTTTTTTTTAGTAATTATAAATAGGAAAAAATACCATCTGGTTGATTACTTATTCAGATTTATCCTCTTGTTCACCTTTTCTTCTATTTACTTTACTCCCGAATGATATATAGGTCACTCGGGAGTAGAAAATCGAAGCAAACGGCGCATTTACATCTACCACGATGTTTATCGATTTATCGAACAGTTGGAAATCACTTAAATTTACTTGAAGGAATATTTGATGTAATCAAATAGTTTGATATCAATCTAAATAACCGTTAAATCTTAGCAATGACATTTTTATTATAAACGATTCATTTAAAAAATTCGAAGTCATCGTAATGAATAGAGAGTGGTGAAGTATTGTTTTTATATGAATAAATAAAGGAAAGATCGATAAACTTGCGGTCGATATTTCGATTAACCAGCAACTTGGTAGCATTCAGTAACATATGTGGCCAGTAGTGTGACAGTATTTGCTGGAGAACCATTGTCGCTCTAGAAATGCAATGGCTATGATGTTACATACAAAGAAGAAGAAGAAGTAACAAGATTGAACGTTGAGTTGCGTGCTAGAAAGCTTTCGAACTTTTTGAACGATGGGATGGGCATTGGGTCACTATTTGGAGCTTTTCGTGCCAGCAAAGTGCATGAAATTTATTCTGTAACTGTTTCAATTCATTTTTTCTCCCATTGTGAAATATTTTTTCCTTGAAAATTGGTTCAATGAAGTTTTTTTGGATGTCACGTCGTATGAGAAAAAAGCCAGAGGTAACTAATAAATAAAATATTTTATTCGTGATATATGTCTTTCAATCTAATATTGAATATTTATGACGAATTTCACCATGATGGATGTTTGGTAGTGTCGTTTGAAAAATTTTATTGCTTCATAAAAACGATTTAGGATTTAAACGTGATTTTTTATCTTACTAATATGATTAATAATGATTGTAAATTATTTAACGAGTGATTGTAATCATTATACAATTTTTATAACTATTTTAATTAAGTCGTTTTGATGCAATAAAGGTTTAAGTAATTGAATACTCCTTGTAACTGATATTCTTATGATAAGGAATGATTATGTTTCAATTCTAATTTTATTTTGACATATCATATTTATAAATAATCATACAAATTCTCGGAATAATTTATTGAAAATTTTACAACATTTATTTAAATGATTTTGTTAAATATCGTGGATTATTTTTAATCGCAAATATTTAGCATTAATTTAAATACAAATTACCGAGAAATCAATTTTAATAATCAATAAATTAATTTCAAGAAACAATTGAATGTTTCTAAATGAATTTATAGCCTCAATGTTATGTTTATATTTCATTGTCAATAATCATTTTTAACCTTTGAACAGTAATAACGTTGAGATAATATATATTTTAAAAAAGTCGCTTGAATGATTTATTCGAACATAAAATTAAATTCAAACTTGTCAAACTTTTTTACTCAATATTTCCACTTCACAGAATATATGCGATTCGATTTTTCCCTCAATTGTTGAGAATATACTCTTAAAAAGTGATAAAGTCATGGTCGAATGATATTTTTCTTGGAGCTTAACGCCTACGAACTAAAAGAGACCGGAAATTAGATTATATTTTCCATTTCCTTGCACTTTCTATGTTTTAATATTTTCCTCTTCAAAGTGAATTTAATTTTCTTAGTTGCTCATTAAATTGTAAAAGAAAAAATAACACTTTTTTGCTAACAATGTATTCTACGTTTAGCTTATAGCTTTGATGGTAGCTATAAGCATTTGATATTTAATTTTTCATCGGACGGAAATTCAAGGACGCACGTGAACGATCGACCATTGAAAAGAAATAAAATAAATAGTTGAGAAGCATGGCAATAAGAAGGACAAGATGAGTAAAAATTCGACGAGGTCAAAGTAAAGCAGGTTATTTGGACCGATATTGCACACGTGAAATTGGCATTTTGCCTTTTGGCACATTGCTTCTTGCATGTATTATTAATGGCAATTATCACAAATTTAAATGACATACCTAGTCGATTGGGAAATCAATTATTTCCGCCTTGCTAAATATTTTATGCTGATTAATTATGAAAAGTAGTTATTTAGAGATAAAACGGTATTATCAACAAAATGACTTATCTGCTCTGGAGCAGTTTATTATTTTGTTTAAATGCTTCGTTCTCAGCTTATTTGCCCAATTCTTTCTTTTTATTATTCAAACATCATCATTATAATCTTAACATAAAACACTCACTTATCAGAGTATAATTTATTTAAATATTCAATAATTTCCAAAGTTTCTAAACTTTTGAAGTTTCTACTATTTATATAATTTTTTTAATTTAACACTATTTGTTTCGAAACGAAATATTTTTTAATTAAACATTTAGTTTTTTAATATTTTTATTCATAAAAGATATTTTTTAAAAACATTTAAGTTTTATGATCGTTATTCTATTCATAGAAAAAAATGGATTGATTGTACGATGATTTTTTAAGGCATCATTATGATAAAAGTACTTTCTTATTTAAATCAAATTTTTAAAAAAATATTTATAAAATTTATGAAGCTTATGCAACTATGTTTATTCAAACATTTTCAAACAATTTATTTTCCTACAAGAGATCATTACACACTCTGTCCATCTATCTTACATCAGATTACAGACTTTTTCTCTCAACTAATGTATAAGGAATTCTCCCTGATTGATATTCACGATTGGTCTCCCACGGAATTTAGCTCCGGTAGAAATTTGAAAAATTCTTGAGGAAATTAATGAATTTTTTTTTTTGCATACTTGTCCTTTAAATAAATAGCACAAAAATTAGGAGCAGCTCGGAAATGTACTCTTTCATTTCTGAAAATTCTCAATTAGTACACGAAAAAATTTCTCAAAAATATCTTTCTTTAATCATCATCAGCAGTTATGATAATAATAGCAGTCATAATAAATTTTTAATTAAATTATCTTTGAAATCATATAAATTACAAACTTTCCTCAATTAGAACTAATGGAGGATGTTTTTTGTTTTCAGGATGTGGAGGGATGTAGAAATAATGTGGAACCGGAACTCGTGATACCTTTGGTGTGGACGAGTAGTAAAAGCCTAGAGGAGACGACAGAGGAGCAAAAGAGTGAAAGAGAAACCTCAGAAATGGCCTCGACTAGTGGACACAAGAGAAACGGTTCGAGTTCAAGCATGTTCGCCCACAAGAGAACCGAATCTGGCAGTGGGTTTATCGGCCACAAACGCTCTGAAAGTGGACACAAGCGTGCCGAGAGTATATCCAGTGCCTTTGGTCATAAAAGATCAGAAAGTGGACACAAAAGAAATGATAGTTACAGTGGATTTGGTCATAAAAGGTCAATAGTTGCTTCAATCATATACTAATTACTTATCTATCTTTTAAAGCTATCTCTTTGCTATCAAGCTCGTTACGAGCACTAAAAATCTGATAACAGATAGAAATTAATGATTACAATCAAATACCATTGATTAATGTCGGAAACAAGCTTCAAGAACTCTCGCTTTCTTCATTACAGGTCGGAGTCCGGTAGTAACTATCATGCAGGACATCGAAGAAATGAAAGTATGTATGCGATGACTGGACTCTATGCTGAGAGTACTGTCAATACACATGATGATGGCCTAAGTCTCCCTCAAACTGGAGAAGGCAGATTGACTCATGACACTGTCATTAGATGTCATAGCAGAAACCCTAGCTCGGGTCTTGTCGATCACAGGTAAATTTTTATGAAACGATGTCTTTTAATCCTCCCAGCAATCATAGTGTTATATTTTTATTATTTCTATCAATCTTTTTATGATGAGAGCAATGTAAATTTCCTACAACTATTCACTTCTTTTTCATGAATATTTTATTTGAAAAAAAAAACAAGTTTTTAAGACTTCTTTTCCTTTAATTAACATGCAAAAATATTGATATCATTTTTATAGTAGAACTGAATTAGTGTAAAAACAACGGTCATATATTACTCATTGCATAATGCTCATTGAATTAGATCATGAACAATAGAGAGACCGCAAATGCACCTACACTGACTGTTGTTTCATGATAATAAATGAGAAAAGGCATCGAGAGATATGTGGAAACGAAGAGTAGATTTTATTTAGGTTTCCTTTTTTAAATTCTATTTTATATCTTTAATTATCTGAGAACATAATTAATTTATGCACTGGCTTATTCATTTACTATAGTTTTTATTTGTGCACTTTTCAGAGATTTTATCATCAAATGCCACAGCAGAAATCCAAGCGCTTCCATGGTCGACAGGTAAATAGAAATTTTATTTTCATTCAAATACAATTTATTTGTTTCCGTTTGAATGAAATATTTATAATAGTTTCTTAATTAAATTTCTTAATTATTCATGTTTGAAAAAAAAATTCCACTAGAAATAGATATTTCTTTTAACTATTATTGTAGATTATGAATAATTCTCCTGATATCTGTTGAGATTAAAAATTACATTTATGTATTGAAAAATTGATAACTTTATATAGTATTTATGAAATATCTTCTTTGATTAGATCAAAATGGTAAAAACTGTACTCTGTAATTTTAAAACATTTTGTAATTCATCTCGAGACAAAAATAAGTCAAAGAACTAATCAATGTTTAATCAAATATGAAATAATGCGAATAGTTATTCTATTGATTTATGACAAGTTTGATTGCATGATGCAGGACAGAAAAGGAAAGACCTCAAACACCACCAATGAATCCAAACTCCAAAGACTGCGGAATATTGAGTTGCAGGCCTATCTTTATACAAAGATTCGCTACTATAAAGGTAGTTTAATTTATTTTATGTCTTGTATATTTATTGTTATTAGTTACTTCACGTAATTACAACTCTAGGATTCACATATATTTTTTAAAATACCACATAAGTAGTGAATAATGAATATAATAAATGAATGATGATAAATAGTTAATAGTATGATGGAAAATCATTGTTATTATTAAAAAAAAAATAATGAACAGCTGTCCCAAGGTCGAGCATTTGTTGGATTTATTGTTACACGCTACCACATATATATGTGAATAAACCGGAAAATTTTCCAACTTCGTGCTTTATAGTTCTGTGTATCTGACAGAAAATCAATTCAGCTTAGCAAATATGTCACGTGAATGTGAGCTTGAATTAGTATTAAGTGATAATATAATTTATTTATTGTTAAATAATTATATGAAAAATTAAATGAATGTTGAAGACTATAAATTAAAAAATCGAGTTGAAATTATGTAATAAATCGATAAAGAACTAATGACTTAATTAATTTCAAATTATGTTTTAGGTATTTGTGTTTCTACTATCATTCCTTGTCACAGTACAGCAAGCACTAAGCTCAGGTTATATCAATTCTGTGATTACCACAATTGAAAAGAGATTTGAAATTCCATCAAGTTTATCAGGCTTGATTGCTAGTTCATATGAAATCGGCAATGTTATTACAGTCATCTTTGTCAGTTATCTGGGCAGTCGTAGACACATTCCAGTTTGGATTGCAATAGGTAACTTTTTTTTATTTAAAAAAAAAAATATTAAACTTTGTTGCTGATTAAAAAACATAGTTTTTAATTTTTTTATTAAAATATTCCTTATGTTAGTTTTAAAAATTTAATACTTTCCGTAGAGTTCTCAAAAAAATTTTCCTACAACTCATCGCAATTTTTCATTACCAAAAACCCCAGGGAATTATAAAGAATGTTTCAATTTAAAATTCTTCAAAACTTCCAGTTCTTATTTAAGATAAAATTTCCAGGTGCTGTGATAATGGGTCTGGGTTCAATGATCTTCATGATTCCGCACTTCGTAGCTGAGCCAAATTTAACAGCAGCATCTAATCATTCCAACTCTGACAATATTTGCCGAGGAGTATCTTTGCGCGAGCAAGATATGGGTTTGGGTAAATATTTAAATTGCTTCTGTTACTCTTATGATAACTTGATATCTCGTGTATGCTGTGAAATGGATGAATTAATTACAAACTAGGTGATTAATGCATTAATTAACCAACATTTCATTCTGTTATTTAGGTCGGTTATCATCTGGATTGTCATCTCCCCCACTGGCGCCTCACAATAATTTACGAGGTGACAATTGCATTCAGGGATCGCCATCAACAGCTGGACCTGTAATGCTTTTCGTAGTGGCTCAACTATTGTTAGGTTGTGGTGGTTCGCCTTTGTTCACACTTGGTACCACTTACATTGACGACCATGTGAGGCCGGAAAGTGCTTCTTTGTACATTGGTCAGTAAAAGACATGAATTAACATTTAAATATTACATTAACTCTAGCAAGTTACGACCCTCATGTACATGTTTATATTATACGCTTCATTAAATTTCTTTCTTGTGGTCTTATTTGCAGGCTGTATGTATAGTATGGCTGCTTTTGGACCAGTTCTAGGATTTCTTCTTGGAGCTTATCTTTTATCATTTCACATGGATTCATTTACTGCAAATATTATTAGCATAGGTGAATATATCATAATTATTGAATCTATTTAAATCATTTTTTTTTCATTTATCGAAGTTAAGATAAAAATAATGATTTATTTTAGATCCCGGTGATCACAGATGGGTCGGAATGTGGTGGGGTGGATTTCTCCTTTGTGGCCTTCTTCTTATTCTCGTCGCGATTCCCTTCTTCAGTTTTCCCAAGACTCTTCAGCGCGAGAAAGAGAAGATCAAAATAATAGAAAAGACTAAGCCTGTAACAGCAAAAGAGAAAGAAGCCAACAAAGATTCGAAAAAGGAATTAAAAAAAGATGACAGTGGCTATGGAAAGGATGTTAAAGGTATTTAATTAAAATTCTTTTCACTAGCTTTTACCGTGAAATTATGTATTTCTCATTGATGAAACCTTTTCATTACACATATTTTTCTTTCACAGATATCCCACGAAGTATGTGGCGATTAGTTTGCAATCCAGTGTACGTTGTAACGTGCTTAGGAGCTTGTATGGAACTAGTAATAGTATCCGGTTTCGTGGTTTTTCTTCCAAAATATCTCGAAACACAGTTTAGCCTGGGAAAAAGTCAAGCAAGTATTTTCACTGGATCTATTGCTATACCAGGAGCATGTATAGGAATATTTTTTGGAGGATGTTTACTCAAACGCTTGGAACTAAGACCAAAGGGTGCAGTGCAGTTTGTTTTGGTCTCAAATATTGTTTGTCTTACTTGCTATGGTCTTTTATTTTTCCTTGGTTGTGATAATGTCAAAATGGCGGGAACTACAATACCATATTTCAATAGCACTACAAAAGGTCCTGAACCATTTCAAGTTAATCTCACTGCCTCTTGTAATTTCGGATGTGAATGTCGTATGAATGACGTTGAACCAGTTTGTGGAAACAACGGCCTCACGTACTTCAGTCCCTGTCATGCAGGTTGTACTGCCTTCAGCTCAAAATCAAACTTTACCAACTGTGCTTGTAAGTTAAACATAAAAGCAATTTTGATCAAAAATTATATACATTATCTCTATTAAAGATTAAATTTATTATTTTATAAATATTATTTGAACTTGATTAATTTTAGGTATTCACGGAAACTTGACAGTTTTAAGGCCGGCAGCCACAGAGTTTGCAGAAGTGACAGCTGTGCCTGTGGCAACATCAGGACCATGCACTTCTCCATGTAAAACAATATTTCCTTTCCTCATGCTTTTATTTTTTATGACGTTTGTCGTTGCAGTGACGCAAATGCCTCTGCTGATGATAGTATTACGGTATGTAAATAAATACAATGATATCTAAAAATAAATTTATAATTAATTTTCTTTTAATTAAATTTCCCATATTTACTAGAAAAATTAATAAACGTTTTCATCAATATAATCAACATAATTACTTTTAGATCCGTTTCTGAAGAAGAGAGGTCATTTGCACTTGGAATGCAATTTGTAATCTTCAGATTGTTTGGTTATATCCCAGCACCAATACTCTTTGGAAATTTAATCGACTCAACGTGTTTGCTCTGGAAAAGTACGTGCGGAGAGAAGGGTGGACGTTGTCTGCTTTACGACATTGAGCAGTTTAGATATAGGTAAAGTATTGATAGAGCAAACTCACAATAACGTTGAAAAATATTTCTATGGTCCTTGAAGATGACAATAAAGATTGTAATAACTCGAAAAAAAATTCTGTAACGTCTTTGAAAGCATTTATAGAGCTCTCGTCAATGTACAAAATACTTCAATGTCATCGAAAATAATGACAAAGCATCCCACAGTATCATCCAACTTCCAACGGCTTCAGAGGTGATAAAAAATCTTAAAATAGCTTGACAATATTTTTTATCATCTTTTTGGAGGTCACAAATGCTTTTAGAGGTTTACAGTAATATTGAAATCAAAAACAATTATAGCACTTAATTTTTTTTATAGATATGTTGGACTGTGTGCTGGAATAAAAATCCTAGCCCTGGCCTTATTTTTAATCGATTGGTGGCTTGTTAGACGAAGAAGGCAATTGGAAGATATTCCAACAGGATTAACGGTTAATGACATCGTTGGGTCTATTATTAGCTTGGATAAATGTAAGCTCTATCAGATGATAATCTTATTTCTAATATGACTTTAGATTTGATTATTTTTATTGAGTGATCACTTTCAAATTAAATTGTTGAACGATCTATAAAAAAGTTTTTACAACTCATCATTGGGAAAATTGAAAAATTATAACTTAATTTAATTCTATTATTTTAGTATTTGAAGAGAAACCACATCAAAATCCAACGGAAGGTGATGGAACAACTCCAAATTGCACAGAGCATACGCCATCATCGATCTCATCACCTACTGAACCAACAAAATCGACAAATTTAGAAGAATCAGAATCTACACACTTGACACAAGGATCAGTGGATTCAACAAATAATGCAAAACTTTTAGCTGACTTCTCTGATACAAGGCAAGAAGATGATTTAGAATTTAAACCTCTTAATGGTACATCTGAATCTAGTGAATTTCATGCTTAATGACGATCTTTTTATAGTTATATTAAATATTATAAATTACTAGCAAATTATTCAGCGGGCTTTGTAAGCTCATTTTTTAATCAATTCCACTGGAAAAACCGACTCAATTTAGCTGCAATGCAAATTAAAATATATATTCTCAAGACATATCATGGCAGATTTACAGCGATATTTTCTTTGAAGTATTTATGAAAATCAGTTTAAATAAAAAAGCAAATTATCGTTATAATTCAAACTAACGATTTGATTTAAATTAAGATTAATTAAAAAATTGCTATATTTAATTTTCGATAAATAACTCAAATAGCTTGTCTCGGATGTGAGCTTCGCGAAGTTTTGTGTTAATATGTTCTTGAAATACTAAGCGTATACTTTTTTATTAAAAAAATTTTTTTTATTAATTAATATTAATTAGAAAAAAATCTATATTCATACGTAAAAAAGAGAAATGTGTTAAATAGAAAATTTGTAAACTAATGTATATTTTCCTTGAAATTTTGGAATCTTAAAAAGATAAATTATGACACTGAATGGTGATGGAACGGTGCACAAATATCTTCCTCGTCTGATTCAAGCTTAAAAAAAGATAAAAATATGAAAAAGGCGAGATTAAAATTAATAATGTAAATATAATTGAATTCCTGCCTTAAGAAACATAAGACTAGACTTAAAATTAGTTATATATAATTAATTAATAATTACATATATGAATGATATAAATAATGGAATAATATTAACAATATGGACGAAAAATGTTTAATTAGAAATGCATAAACGGCTATTTATCATATAATACCCATGGGTTGAATGTTCTCAAACAATTAGTCAATATAGTGTTAGTAAAACGAGATTAAATATAACAATATCGAGAATTTATTGTTGAGTTACTTATACTCAGAGTATATAAAGGAAATTTTTTTTTGCTATCAGTAAATAAAACTTCCATGTTGAAGATCTGTATTTTATTCATGATGCATTCGATGAGAAAAAATTATTGAACAAATAATTGTAAAAAAAAATATAAAGCTCATTAAAAAGAGGCAGTCGAGTGATTTGTACCTGAAAGCCTCTTGATTTGATGATTAAAAAATAAAACAAAATTACATGAATTTACTCAGGAATGCTATTCTGTTATAGAATTGCAAATCTCAATGAACAATACAAAGTGGCAATGTTCTTATGTATGATAAGAAAAAAAAAATATGTGGGAATGCTGCTTAATTTTCCCAAAAAGATGTTAAGCTGATAAATATTCTACATACTTTCTCACTTTAGCCTGTAAAAACCTCACACTGTCAATACTTTGGATAGTAAAAAAGCATATTAGAATTGTAAAATAGAGCAATTATATACGTCTTCTTCGAATTTCGGGTGTACAAGTTACGTAATTGTGATAATAAATGTCTGAGATAATGGATAAAGTTCGAGGAGAGTTAAAAAATAATAATGAATGAAATAAAAATAAATAAAATGATGAAAGTGCTGTGAGAATGGTAATAAATCAGTGTATTGTTTGTTAATAAGAATCAAATTTGATAAATATTGTTGTCAAAGGCTCAAGGAACAGAATGATGTTGACACGAAATGAATTTAAATTAAATTTTTAATAAACGTAAACAATAAACTCATAATGAAATTCACTCGAATTATTTTCGAGTTTTATATACAAAGAATAAGCGTAAAAGTTTTATATCAATTTTAACTGCCGGCACTATTATTTAATAACAATTATCATTTTCATTTAATAATTATTATTACCGGTAATTAACCAATAATTATCAATTGACAATTAACAAAATAAAAATAATCAATTTTTTGCATACCTTGTATTTAAATATAATTATCAGGCTAATAATCTTTTGAATTATTATTATAGGTCAAAATGTTACTTAAATACTCTTAGATGAATTTTTACCATTTTTACGCAGATATATAATTATCGTGACCTCGTTTCAATAGGAAATATAATTCACACTCGGTTATAATCCATATTATAATTATTATCATTATCATGATATGGTTTATGAATCGATTTTCCTGCGACTATTAATTGTATGGAACATTCCAGTGTCAACAATGGTGAAGAGTGAGAAAATTTAGTAAACAGTTATTATATGAAGATTAAGAAATAATTGATAATTATTAACTAAGGAATTATATAGATAAATTTTAACGATAAAAAAAATGTTATGTACATAATATATAATTATTATTATAATAATGTAAACTGCTTATAGATGTACTGTATTTTTTGTAGGGACCATATTATGATTATGAAAATTTTTAATTAAATCAAATAATAATGCGATTTATAAATACAATAATTATTGAGATTCGTACGGAGTTGCTGATTTTATTGACTTTCGTAGATGAAGTATTATTAAAAACGATATTTGAGACAAGATAGATTGAAATAATGATATCAGCAATGAGTAACAGTTAATAATATTGCTGATTTGATTTCGAAAAGTGAACCTTGGCCTTAAAATATCTACATAATACATGTTGAATTATTACGTTAAGGCCTACAACAAAATTAGATACTTTCTAAAGGGTGGGTAAATTGTTTTATGAATATAATAAAGAAATTTATTATTATTGAAATAGCATGATGGACCTGAATGTGAAATAAGTTTCGTATTTAGAAACTTATTGTATACGTGTGATAAATATAAGTATGCCTTAGTAGACAAAAGAGGAGTTGGGATAAAGCAGTTCGAAATTAACTGAAATATATCAGAAGATGAATATAACTAAATATGAATTATTATAACGTAATATTGATAAAAAATTAATGAATAATGAAATAACAAATTATATGCAGTTTAATATGATAAATATTCATGATGTTTTGGAAACAAGTTAAAGGGTAATCGCACTTCCTACGAACTATCTTAGTCTTTGTGAACGATTTCATATGAAATTAATGAAATTATCATCATTTTAATAATGCAATGCGTGCAATTATTCTTCAGCAGGGTTTGTGTTTCATATCAATTTTGAATTAAAACTCACTCTTCTCTTTAACTCAAAAAAAAAAATAATATATATTTGAACTAAATTTTTATTCAAAAATTTACTAATAATACTTCGATATATTTAAATATTGGAATGACAAATCGCCTTATTACTGTTCTTTCTTTTATTGTTATCTTCAATATTGCAATTCGAACTAACAAAAATAAATGTTTATAAAAAGATAATTTATTTTCTTTATTTACTGTTTAGTAAATTTAATAGATTATTAGTTTAATAAGATATATTTCGATCTTGAAAATTTTAGTAATTATTTTTCGAATTTTTTATCTAGAGTTTCGTTTGTGTAGCTGCTGATTAAAAACTTTTAAAAACCATGAGTTTAAAACTACCCGCTTTTTAATTGTAGTATAATGGCGTTCTGTTAGAGAACGCTACGGGTTTTCCCCCACTACTTTTCAATATTCTCCGCCATTTCCATCAGTTGTCTACGGGCTTTTCTGGTGTTTGGGTGTACGTAAGTTGAGAAGTGCTATTACCATTTCGGAGTATCGTTTTTAGTAACGAACCCCCAAACGTGCCTGTCGTATTCAATGTGTATGGCGATTCAGGTGAGTTACAAATTCATTAATTAAGTCACATTGAATTATTATATAAAAATAGATTATTTTAAAAAGAATATTTCATGAAAAATTGCAATTTTCATGAATCTGGGAATTTGTGACTTGCGCGGTCAGACACTCTTCGAAACGCTTAAACAGAACAGGCTTTTACCGTAAAGATGTCGATGATATTTCATGTATTTTGTCAGGCAATATCGCGTTTTTTATTTTTATATCTGAATATTACGATCGATAGAAACTGCTCTGAAGTACATTTTTGTTATATACGTGACGTTTCACCGTTCTACTTAGCGACTAACATCCGGTGACCAGTCGATGCCGAGAGTCCAACCAGTAAGAGAAGACTTTCACGCCCGTAACATAGCTGTAGATGAAAACAGCTTCAAATTTTCATCGTTTTTATTATTCCAATCGTTTCTTAGTGGCCATAATCTTTGATTCGTCATTAGTTTCTCTCCATTTTGCCTCCTAATTTCATCATATTCTCATGTTGAATTTTTTATTCGAAACCAATTAATGAGTCATCGCACTGCAGTCACACGTGGAGTGTATAATTATGCCAAGCTCAAGCGTGTTTCCGGCTTTCTTTGTCGATAAAACATCTTTATTAAGCTCTCAAAGCTCAACTTTTGTTGCAAAAAAGTTTTTAAAAGATTCCTTTTATGGTTTTAGATGAAACATTTTCTAATATTGGAGCTATATTGAGATTAAGAAGGGGAGATTAAAAGTTTATAATTCAAATAAAATTAATACATAAATTATTCAACAGTTTAAAAAATAAATAAAAAACTATTCTTTTGAATGAAAAATAGAAAAGAATGTTTGCTTCTGTACATAAAAAACTAAAATGGCAGACTGCTTTGAAATGCTTGATTTCTTATACAAAGAAGAACAAAGCATGTCAAACTTGACAAATTTTATATTGAATCTCACAACCTACTTTTACTCCTTTGACTTAAATCCCTACCTCGTATATCATCTAACCTTGTCTGGAACTCGTCATATAATTATTATTATATTATAATACATAGATATATAATAAAATTAATAAATTCATCGATAGTAGAAACAAAGAATTAAAACTTTATTCAACACCTACAAGCTAATGTGCTTAACTTTAGCAGCTTAAAGTTGTATTTCATGTACTGTTATAAGACGAAAAAAGCAACACTCGGATATAAAGTTCTTTAACATCAAGTTAACATATTTATTATACCTAAGCTTTGAAAACGTAATTTCTCGAGAGAAGTGAAAAAGAAAGGAATTTTTCGAGTCAGTTCGAAAAGGCTATGGTACAAGGTCAGACAACTGACCTGCGATATCAGTCATATACAGTACATGATGCTCATTGACATCCAAATGACATTTTTGCTTTTTTTATCGAGCAAATATTAGGCAAACTTTTATACATTTATTTATTGCATTAAAAAGTCTTGTTATATAACGGCAGGAAATGTAAAAATGTTACGAGGTAATAGAGTATCAATCAGATAAAAACAAACCCACAGACTTGTATTACATATCTGTGTTAATGAAAAAAAAAAATTGTTTTCGTGTTATGTCAAGTACATAAATAAATATTATAATATATTAATAAAACTATAAACGAATTATTTCTAGGTATTTCAATTCCATAGAGATAAAAAGTTTGTCATTGAGCTACTTTTTTATTTGACTAGTGTTCCATTATTAATAGATATATGAATTGTGGTTTTGTTTAATTATTTATTTATCATTATTCATATTAATTATTGACAAAATTTACATGACAATTATTTATATGTTAGTAGTCGTTTAGTTAATTCTACATTGATGACTTCCATGAGTTATTTATAGCCCCTTAAGGTCTAGATAATTCATTTAAAAAAAAAAAAAAAAACATTTTATTTTAGTCTTGTCGCTGATAATTAGTCAGCATCCAAGTGATCGCGGTTAGAAATTATCACCTCTCGCCATTGCATTTCTATCTTCCTGATGATCACCACGTGTCAGTGTAGAATTACTGTCTATCAGAGTCACGGTACGCGGACAATTCAGCAGTTCGAATTGCTTTTGTGACGTGCGTAGGCTTGCTACAGACGTCATTCGTTATCCGACACTTAACGTCGGCGACTCGTATCTCCAAGTAATTGATAAACTTGAAATACATAAATATTTATCAACATTTGACGTTAGACTTTTATTAACACGCGTGTATTATTATCAAATTACTATCGTAATATCGTTACAGATGGAAATTTTATTTGGTAGCGTAAAGTAGGATGAATGCGGAATGGTGTTTGATGTGATACGTGCTTTTATTTGTAATGATAAACAAACATTGATAAGCTTTTACCGACATATCAGTTGACAGGACCACCATGGAGTTACTGTAATCTTTATTAGACAAAACATTGTTTTACATAGAGTGTTTAAATTCAATAACAAAAAGTATTTATAATGCTTTAAAGAAAAATGATTAATGTGAGAAAAAATTAAATTTATAATAAAAATCTAATAATATACCATTAATTATAGTTTAACTAAGTTACTGAAATGTTGTCGAAAAAATTATTTAATAGATTTCTAAAAAATTTCCACTTAAAAGTTTAAGGGAAAAGAAAAATATATTTTAAAGCAATTAATGAATGATAAAAACTTCTTCAAGAATTAAATTTTTTTCTTTATTAAATGTACAATGCAAATTTTTTATTTAAAAGTTTTTTAAAACGTAAAAAAATCACTATTAATTGTTGAATATTATATCACTTCAATTGTACAACAACAATAAAATCATCATTTTTTATGTTAAAAAAAAATTTATTTTAAAAACCAACTCTTTATTGATCATAACAAAGGATGCAAGACTTCATTGTTTACAAAAATTTATTCAAAAAGAAAAAAAAATCATATTAAAGCAGAGTTGAGTAACCTCTCTTTTGAGGCCCTTAAATTCGATGTAGACAAAAGTAGGGATAAAAAAAAATTAGCAGATGATTTTACTGATGAAACCCGCAGGTTTGGAGTAGAGCTCGCCTTCCTTTTATTTAATGCCGAAGTCGTCGACCCTGGTCCAGGTTTAAACCTGCCCCCTTAGAAATGTGAATATCCCACTGTCTAGACAGTGCGCACCTAAAGGACGCCAGGGACGATTGACCAGGGTGATCGTCCCTCCATTCTTTGTTTCTTTTTTATTCCCATTTTATTCACCCCGCACGACTGGACCCTCCAACCGGTTTGGAGTTCTTCGACTCCACACTCACGTCGGCCTCGCGCCAGCACCCGAAATAAAAGCAAACTCCATGGCAATCATTCCAACCACACTAATACTAGGCAAACATACAAGCTAAGAAAATACATTGATATTTTATCTTACATTATACAGATATAAATTTGTTATCAAGTATTGGAAAATTAAATATTTGAACAATTATTACATAGTTCAATAACAAACATTTATTCATTTCCTCAAAAGTATTATGCAAAATAAATAATTGCGTCTTCTTAAATCTTGAGAACGAAGAGACCACTTGATAATTAGCATTAGAAAGCATTCTGTACACTAACTAGTATTAATAAGACAAACTCAACTGTCTCCGGTATTCCTCTGTATTTCCGTTTGTTGGTTTCCTCTAATCAAACCGCAATTATTCCCATTTCAGATTTCAATCATGTCCAAGAGGATTAATAAGATTGTTGTTGTTCAGTACGTTTGATTTAATTGTCTGATATAATCAATACTTTTATTTTTAAATCGTGAAATATTACAAAGTGGATAACATCATTAAGAACATTTTTAATTACTTTTTTTCTTTTATAGGCTTTCATTATTTCAGCTTCATTGAAAAATTAATGATATTTTTAATTATATTTTATACTTATAAATAAGTGGATTTATTATTCGTATAATTTTATTCAAATTTAATAATCAATTAATTAAATAATTTGAATATTTGATTAATTGCATAATTTTTATCTTTGTCATTTTATTGCATTCTTTAGTATGTGCGTATTTCACATATTTTC